TGCCTTTCTAAGAGCTGCTGTCTTCACTGTTCATAGTGAAGTTTGTAAGATAATGGAAAATTCCAGTAAAGCTGTGTTTAAATTTGTCTCTACAGAGTAGCAGCATGTTGAACGTTGTACTTTGTGTATCCTCTTTAAATATTAAGATTGTACGCTTTCTGACTGCCTCTCAGTTGAGATTGTGTGGAGTGGTTTTGACATTGAATAACCTTGATATTCAGCCATTAAATATTCACCTATAGAAATAGCTGTGAAAGTAACTTTTTAGCATAGCTGTTAATTCAGTACATATCCAAAAATTAGTCACAAAATACTAGAAGGGACTGTGAGAGATCAGGTCCAGTCCCCTCCCGTCACAGCAGGACCAAGCACTATCTAGATAATCCCTGACAAATGTCTGTCCAAACAGCTCCCAAGTACACTCATACTCATATACAGTGTATGGATGGACCGCATATGGAATCAGTTTAATTACTGTACGGGTTCGTACTGCCGAACCTGGGACTTTCTGGTCTGGCAAGGCCAAAGATATTGCAAAAAAATGCATCCTACTTCTGTGTTGGATGACCTTCCCCTCCCCCTCAAGTTTTATTAAATGGACTTAGAGTTATGCATGTGTGTGTCTCTAAGATGCTTTGGAAAGAATGCTTCATGTTAACCTATCAATCTTAATGTCTTAAGCTGCTGGGTCTGTATATGTTACTTTGGTGTGTGTATCATTCTTGTGTGTAAACTTAGAAATATGGATTAAGGAATGTTTTGTGATTTTAAATGTGCAAATGAAAGCCAGCAAGGGTTTTTCCAATGCTGGGATGCCTCAGAGTCTGGGCAGACATATGTAAACACCCTCTTTTGTCCTTTAAGTCTTAGCAAGTCACATGTCCACCCCAACTGATAGGGGCAGATCAAGTAATTGTCCATGGAAATGTGGTATCTATAAAATAATAGGGATCTAGGAGGTTTTTTTGGTCTTTGGCTAGTGTGGCACACCCAAGAGAATGAGCCGAAGACCCCAGGGAGGGGGAACTTCCCTGGTTTGGAGATGTAGCTGGAATAAGAACAGTCTTAGGGTAAGTTTGTAATAAGTCTGTACTGAGGTTTTAAGTGTTAGAAAACACTTAGCTAATTCTGTTTTAAATTTGTAATCAACTTTGCTCTTCCTGTTTTCACTTACAACCCCTTTAAATTCTGTCTACTTAAAACCATTTTTAATTACACCGAGCTTGGTAATAAATAATTGTTCCCTCGGGGAGCAATTGGTGTGCATATTCCCCTTTCATTGTTAGAGGCTTACCTAAATTCCTTTAGGGTTCTGATCTCATTTGGGAAGTGGCATCCCAGGAAGCTAGGCCCAAAACTGCATTTTCCTCGGACCTGAAGAGTTTCTGTATTGCTTCGGGGGGGGGAGGAGGGGAGGGGTGTAATCTCAGCTCTGTGCCATGGCTGTGGGAGACCAGGGAGCTGGCCCAGCAGGACAGGGTTGTGAGAAGCTCCAGAGAGCAGGAAGGCAAGTGTCAGTGGGCTGTCAGCACTCTGGGAAGCATCCCCAAGGGGTCTTCTGTGACCTCACCCCGTCACAACATGACACACAGGCCCTCTGGATATATGATTATTCTGTGGTGGGTTTTGCCTTGCTAGTAGGGAAGAAAAAAACATCTATGGACCCATGTTTCTTCCAGAAAAAGGGGAGGAACCTCATTCTAAATTATCTCGTCTCATCCCAAAACAAAAACCATGCCTCCATTCCTCTAAAATGGCTGTAAACTTTTTAAAAACATTTCCATGGATACCTTACTTTACCTAATACTGTGACGTGATCTGATAATAATTTTTTACTATTACAGCCTCGGAGCTATTCGATTAGCTTACTAGCACAGGTTACAGGACTTCAGAGTAAAAACCACTTGGGTCATTTATGGGAAGTTTCTACTATTCTGTGAATACTAGATCTCAAGGTCCAATTCTTTTAATGCAGCACCTTTCACAAGCTTTAAATGAGCAATTTAAAACAAATCTGCAAAATACTGTACACCACAAGAGGTGAAGTAGATACAGAATAAATGATATTGCAAAGAATGTCGTTAAAACAGATAAGGTGTACTAGCCTACCATGCTGGGAGGCTGGAGGACATGTGCTTTCAGCTACTTGAAATTGTGGATGTTCTTAGGTTATTGCATGGCCCTTGTATTAAGGAGCTCACGAATCCTCGCCTTTGTATTTGTATTGGGTATTTATGAAGGCAGAGGCCATTCTTGGCCCACAATATAGTTCAGTCCATTTTAGAATACAAGGTTAATGCTCCTTCTAATACTTAAATGAGAAGCTGCTACAAATGAGTTAAGGATTGAGATTCCCAACCAGGCTTCTTTTCACTAAACACTGGACATGATCGGTTTGGCCTTTTAATGAGAAATAGTGGTAAGGATGCCCAAATAGTCTGGTACAGATCAGCATTTTTATGGGATAATAAAAAATCCTTCAGTACTGTACTAACAAAAGGCAGACTGATATTGCTTTTAACTCAAGCATTTTCTGTGAATCTTCGATTTGATTTCTAATTGTTTTGGATCAAATAAATGTCAGATAAGGGGAGACCTGATCTGGCCACCCTAAATGGAAGGATTCCAGATGATACATTCTGTCCTTCGTGCCCTGTTTGTATAGACTTTCGACTTCAATTTGACTTTTAGCACTGAAGGTGACCGTTCAGCTACATCGAGTTCAATTGGAACTGCTGGATGCCCAGCATGTTAGGAAATCCTAAAGCCCTTAAAGAAGCAGCCTGATTTGGGAACCTGATTTTGGGAAGATATTTTTTTAAAGCCTTGTCAGAAATGTTTATCACAGTTGTAGCCAGATGTCTTGAGTGGACAAAGTAACTAGCTAGAATTCTCAATATCTGGTGTCCAAGAGAATCTGTAATACTATCAGTCAGATTTGGTTGTGTACCTAACATTGTTTCAGAATGTGCTGACATTTGAATGGTATGGTGTATATACCCACTCTGGCTACTTATTCTTAAAAATAGTTGTAACATGGTGTAGTATTTTTAGCTCTGTAGCCTGTTCTGACTTGAAGAAATTATTATAATTTATTTGGAGAGAGTCAGACAAATGCACAAGAGTAGTAGAGTAGGGATGTTAATTGGTTAAACTTGCTGGCTGGCACCCCACCAGGAGCCTGCCTGGAGTAGGTCTGGCTGCTGCAGGAGACTGGCTGCTGAGACACTGCTGGCAGCTAGGAGCCTGCTGAGACTGGGTACCATGATCCCACTGGTAGCCCGGAGTGGGGCTGACTGGGCTTCTGGCTTCCAAACTTGGGGGAGGGGTGCAGCCTTGGTGAGGGGTGACCGATCATTCTCTCCCTATTGCCACATCCCCTAACATTTAACCATGTAACAGATGGGTTACATGGCTAATATTTTTCTTTTTTTTTTTTTTTTTTTTTACATCCCTAGATCATAATAACACTTTCAATACTGAAATAGCAAAGCTGCAAATATGTTGGATTGCCTTTGTGAAAGCATCTGACATTGACCGCAAAGCTAACCTTAATTTTTGCATTTTAGTGTATTAGGGAGAACTAAATGAATGGGTAAAAAGAGAACAGATTTTTTCCAATAGAAAAGTATACTATTCGTTTCTTTGTTTTAATTTGATCACAAAGGAGCCTAAACTGGTGTCAGAAGAGCACTTTTTTCCCTCCAAGAGGAGGCTTAAATGTACATTCACAACTCTTCCCTTTTGCTCTGAAATACAGCTTTAAACTACAACTTAACTGATTGGGGTACTCAGTAAATCTAGTCCTTTGCCTTTGTGGTGTGTTTTTTTTTTTTTGATTGACAACTATTTTTGAATGTTATCTTTTTAACATTGAGCAGGTATTTAACTCATTGAATAGGGTTTTTTTTTTTTGTTTGGGGTTTTTTTTGGTAATTACTTTGAAGTCGCTTGAATTAATTGAATTGACTTTTTTTGTCCAAATTACTTTGAAGTCACATGAATTAATTGAATTGACTTTTTTTGTCCAACTTTCAATCATGGAGTAATTTAAAAAAAATAAATTTACCCTCCATTTTCCAAGGTTTCCTATGCGCGCCCAAGTTCAGCTTCTATCAGAGATGCAAATTTGTACGTCAGTGGACTTCCAAAAACAATGACCCAAAAGGAACTGGAGCAGCTCTTTTCGCAATATGGACGCATTATTACTTCTCGTATTCTAGTTGACCAAGTCACTGGTAAGTAGGCAGCTGCTCTGCACTGTCTCTCTCACTTTCTCAGACTGGCAGATAGTGAAATATTCTACCTTCCGATGCAGCAGTCTTGCCTCCAGAACATATCAAAGGTATATGTGGGCCAGAAAATGTAATTTTCTGCTGGAATTGTTCATAAATATGCATGAACAAAAATAGATTGTGGAGTGGAGTGTGCCAGCCTGAGTCATTTCTACCCTGAAGGTGCAGGTTTGAAGCCTGTTTCATGGCTTGTAATAAATTTACAGCTGCTATAATCTTCATTTCCAAGCTGCTGCGTGAAAATAGTCCCTATGCTCCTTATAAAAAGCTAATAAACAATCTTTTTTTATAAAAAGCAAAATTTTATGCAGTAATGCACAGCTGGTTCTCTCAGGCTAGGATTACACAAAACCTGAACTGGTAATTGCTGTTAAAACTGTTCTCATGGTTGTCATCTACTAGGGGCACACAGAAGAATATGCGTTTAGAGATTTAGGAATAGATAAGTTCTATACTTAGCAGTGTTAGCACGGACTAAAAGCAAACTACAAACATTGGTAGGTTAAATACTTTTATTTCAGTGTGCCTTCAATGGACACTGTGTGCCACAAAATGTCCAATTGTCTTTTTGATTCAGATTTGAATAGTATGTGTTTTTTCTGTACACTTATGCCAATTCCACTGGCAGACTGAATTTTGGAAGTAGCGTATTTTCTATCTGCACCAAAGTTCATCTGTAAAGGCTGGCATAGAACATCAAATAAGGTAGATGTTTCCACAGAAATGAGGAACTACAGACTGTATTTAAACCATGTACAACACAGGCTGAGGCATGGAAAAGGATTCTCCCCTCAAATGTTTTAGTCCCTTCCATTTCCTTGAACACTTCATCTGTTTTTTCCTTTTTAACCAAATGAATGCCAGTAATGTCAATTTGGTGGATAAAAATTCCAACTGTACTGTCAGTGTTAGTTTGACAAAATCTTGAGAGAAATTTTTATTTTTCTAATCGCTAAACAGGATATAAAAATAGTCTATAAGGGTACGTCTACACTACAGCGCTAGTTCGCACTAACTTAGTTCGAATTAGTTAATTCGAACTAAGCTAGTTCGAACTAGGCGTTAGTCCTCGTAAAATGAGGTTTTCCTAGTTCGAACTAAGCGCTCCGCTAGTTCGAATTTGAATCGAACTAGCGGAGCGCTTAGTTCGAACTAGCGCTGTAGTGTAGACGTACCCTTATAGACTATTTTTATATAGACTACAGGGTTTTGTCGACAAAACCCTGTAGTCTATATAAAAATAGTCTATAAGGGTACGTCTACACTACAGCGCTAGTTCGCACTAACTTAGTTCGAATTAGTTAATTCGAACTAAGCTAGTTCGAACTAACTTTCTAGTGTAGACATACCCTAAAAGAAGAGTAATCTCATGCTTTTAATGAAGTCCTAACACCTAACTTACATGTTTTAATGTATAACTAGCAGATTTGCCCAGCATTGCTCTGGTCCATAACTCAATTACATTTTTTTAATTAAAGGAAAATATACATGCTTCATGAAAATACTGTATTTTTCAAAAATACAATCATTTACGTGTAATTTTTATTTCAGATTCTCATGGATTAAAGTTTTTGGTTTTGTTAGTAAAAATTTTGAATGGGCTTTCCATCAAGTGTGTGGTTTTTTCTTCTTCCATATACACTTATTTTCTATATTTTAACCAAAAAAAAGGTGATAGTCAATTTAGTTTCCTATAATATTTTCTTCTCATTTTCAAACCTTTGAGCACTGATTCAATTGTGCCAAAACAGAACTACTCCAAATTTATCTGTTTTATCTCTTTTCTGTAATATTTATTGAGAAACAATCCTATTGTTGGTTCATCCAATTGTTCTGGCTCATCTTCGTTTAGTGACCTGGGGTTGAAAGTAACTTAAATTTCTTACAGGTACTGTTCTATTACAACCTCTCTTGGGAGGGAGGGGAGAGAGACCTCAGAGCAGTAGATGTGAGGGTGGGCAGGCTTGTAATACAACAATACCTATACAAATTTAAATGTAGAGGCTCCAAGCAGAGGTTTGTGAAGTTCTGGGAGTGGGGATGTTGGGGGACTGCAGGAGTCAGGGTTGCAGGTGAGGCTGGGCTTAGGGT